CGGCATTCTTGACCCAACCCGGCAGGGCTTGGGTACGCAGCACCTTCCAGGCTTCTTGATAATTTAATGCAGCTTCCTTGTAGTCCCAGTAGGTTTTTAAAGTCTTCATCCTGACAGAAAATGCACAACAACGAAAACATTTCTATTATCCTGTTGGATGTAACATCACAAAATGAAAAAAGCAGTCAAACATCTAAGAACGTGTTGATGCCCTATGCGCTCTTTCATGCTACTAAGTGAAATTCTCCTGTGCTTCTAGGGAGACCGGGAGAGGCCCAGGCCCTGAAGCTAGTGTATCTAGACATTGTCAGCGGTCTGACAAAAGGAAGCAAAGCAACTCCTCTACCATGCTTCATACACACTCTCCAGCAATAAAAGTGTCAGTGTTTGACTGGGTGACAATAGATTACAAAAAACTTCTATGACAGCAAAAAATGTTGAAGTAAAGCAGAAAAGGTGGCTAGAAACAGGTGCTTTGAATTGAGTGGAAGTAGCTTGTTTTGCTAGAAGAACAGATACGATTGCTGGCTAGTGGGGAAGGGGACAAGGATGAACAAGACCGTTTTTCTTGACTTTTTTCCTTGCCTTGCATTCCTTTCCCAGCCTCTTTCATCTCTCCTTGCCAAACAGTCTGTCAGCCACATGTGGCACATAATGTTTATACATTCGGCCCAATATGAACAGAAGATCACAGGAAACATGACCTTCATCAAGAAAGAGGAAGAGCCAAACTACTACAGAAACCCTAATCTAAAAAGTCTGAGAACCACTGCACTAACTTCCAGAACAGGCTTTCATGCTCAAAGGCAATATTGATCACCACCCCTGCCCCCTCCCTCAAAAAAACCCCAGCAAACACAAAAAAACATAACAACAAACCATCAAAAGCTGTATTTCAGGCATTCAGCATTCTGCTATAAATGTAGTTCTAGAACACTGTGACATGCATAGCAAGCCATGAGATATTATCTATCCTGCAGACCTTAGGTTCAGAAAGTACATGAGCGGAGAACCTGTCTCTGCCATTGCTGAACACGGGAGATGCATACTCTCTTACAAACCTGCCTGCACTCTTGTCACAGCTAATCCATTGTGCTTTCTTTACCTCTTTCACATTAATCCAACTCCGTGAAACTAACCTCTGAGCTGCTCTGGAAAGTTCCATGGAAGAGCCCAATGCAACTCTCCTCCGCCCGGCCAGTGGAACAGTCACAGAACCCCGGTATCAGTTGTGGATCATGTTTAGGAGCATTACTGAACAGGTGAAAGACCAGCAGCCGTCTGCACAAGCAGCATTCAGGAAACAACACAGGTCCAAGAAAGGCCAAGGTCAGCCCACCACAACCAGCTCCAAATCCCTAGCATAGGCAAGCTGTTCCTCTCCCAGGTACTCCAACGTGTACCTCAGACATGGTACAAACCGCCTGCAGCTTCTCCTCCACCTCAAAAACCATTCTCTGGGGAGCAATACGCATGCTTACACTCAAGGATAATGACCGAATCATTCTTTGGGAAGAAACTCTTATGCTAGCACACTTCTTGTACTTATAGTATGTCTGATAGATTTGTTTAAGACTTTGACCCTGCCCTTCTTCACTATAAATGCATCTAATGACTTACATTAGCCCTTTATCATAGAATAGCTAATACCAGATGCTGTTTACATCTTCAAAACACAGCTACTTGTACTTATGAGATCACATTTAGGATGGTCAAAGATCAAAAAAGAATTATATGACACAGATTTTTGGACTGGCTCAATCTTGTTAAAGGTGAAACACCTGGTTTTGCTGTGGATGCACATATATATAGATACAGATCCAGGTAAAGATAGATAGATAGATATATTTCACCTGCCACTAAGCCAAGAGAAAGACTCCAATGCCTAGCTGTTCTTCATTTCTTCCTTGCTAAAAATTGCTTTTTTTCCTGAATCTGCTAGCAAATCAATGGCTCTTCAACTCATATCCAGCAGTCTGATTCAATTTAACTAAAACGCATATGGAATTTTTCTAACCTAGACTATTCCAACAGACTTTTGTCTGGAAACTGTCACAGCAGACCACAGGGAAAACACTGCTAGCACTGCGTCCATCCTAGCAGGACAGACAGTAAGGAACAGCTCAGTACTTTCATCCCACTGTAGCAGCTACAAGAGCAGCCTCTTGGGATCCCATCTCCAAGCAGACAACATCACTACAGGATTTAACAGCACATGCAACAGAAAGCTGCATTTAAACAGCTTCCTCAAAGAGCTGCCAAAATCAAAGATTTATTTAATTCATGCTCAACTTCTGCATTAAGCTTCTAAGAAATTTTCAACATATATACAGGAAAAATGCTTTCAAATGCAAAGTATGTTACATTTGCCTAAGAACCTCACATGATTTGACTGTATCTCAGCTTTGGTTGGGCCATTAAGGCTCTAAGCATTAGTAATGAAGAACCTGTGACATTTTTTTTGGCAGAAGTGAACACTAGTATGCTGCCCCAGGCAAAGTCCAGTACAATCATACAATCTCCAGCCTATCCAGGTCTGCCTGACCACATTCCTTTTATGTTTCCCTTTACTATTTCAATCTTGCCCCTACTCTTACTGCGTAAGAGAGAGATAGAGTGATTCCGATGGCTGTGTGCCAGAGACATGAGAGGTGATCCACAGATTTCATTCTGAAAGGTATCACACTCATGGAAAAAGCCTTACACAAATCACCATTATGCCTGAAAACATTCATGTGCTCAGCCACATGGAAAGCTGAGCAGAAATGGGCTCACGAGCAAGGCAGTATGCACAGAAAAGCAACACACTGCTGCAATACTTCCTTCTCAGCAACAAACCCTACCTTTAACCCATATTCAGTTTCAAACATTTACATTCAACCCATAATGTACTTCTGAGGTTACAGAGGTATTGTACATGAAAAATGTTGACATAAGCACAAAGCATCAAACAAAACATTACTCTTCCACAAAAATTAATGAATCGCATCTAATAGGGCAAAAACTCACAGATCTTCAATATATAAAAGATTATATATATGGATTCTGTTGTGAAGCCATAATGATAGGCAGCCAGGAAACCATACTTAGCCTGATTCTATTAGTATCTTCTTCAATGCTTCATATAAAATGCAGTCATTGCAGGGAAACTTTGTAATTGACACTAATTGTTAAGAAGATACAGAACAAAGTCACAGAGTGATCTAACTCAATGAGTGAGTTCCACTCAAATACAACAAGTTTTAACAGTAATGTAAGGTTTTGCAGGATTTGGAAGATTGTTACTGCACTGCTGTGTCTAGCTTGGGAGACCAGATTTTCAAAACATTATTGAAAAATTGGAAAATGAGCTTTGTGGCTTTTTCCAATGTCATCTGAGATGTGGAAAAAATGAATCACACAGGAAAAGATGTAGTAGCTCAACAGAGTAATTAAAAAAAAAAATCAAGTCTTGAGAGAATTATGATGGATAAGTATTTTCACAGGGCAGAGAATACTACTTAATAAAAGGCTCTTCAATCTTGCAAAGACCTAACAAGCATCTGTGATGTGCAGTATAGAAAAGATTTTCTTAGTTAGATCAGAGGACCTAACTGTCCTGCAGGCCTCTATGAAGCGGTAGGACCATCACAGGAGTTGTTTAATGTATAAACTTTAAAAAGAAAATTGAAAAGGAACTACAAAATTGCAACAAAAATCTTGCCAAATGTGGTTGTGTTTGGTGTTTGGTTTTGTTTTGTTTTTGTTTTTAATTGGAGAACAGCAGTAACAGTGAAACTGCACCCCTCCTATAACAGTTACTTTCATTAGGCTGACACTTCCTTACAGTGATCCTTAGTCACTCCAGCAGGAAATACTTAGCAGTCACCTGGCAGAATCCTTTTGTTTTTCACAAATGAACACTAGCAAAAAATCTTAAACATGAAGCCCAAGCGAAGGTTTTATACTTTAGTCTAGATATTTAAATCTTAAAGCCATCTGAAAGTCCTTGCGCTCCTCTGTACAACAGCCCATCCCCTCCAATTAGGTGTCACTAGAATCGTCCATACTGCAGACTGAAATTCAAATTCAGACTACAAGGGGGAAAGGAAGAAAAAGGAAGAAAACACTTCAGAACATTGCGTAGAAACGGAAGAAGAAGGAAACAGCAATATAAAGACTTTTTTTATTTTGCCTTTTAAGTGAAGAGTAGGAAAACCAAAGACTTCAAAAGGAAAGCAACTGGATGAGCTGACTGGTGAGCTAGCACCTCTACTGAATAGTTTGTGCAGCCCAAAAATCATGCCACATCTGCAAATCAGCTGAACTTTGTCAGCAGAAGCCCAGACAGAAAAATGGTAGAGGACAAAAAAGTCAAAGGAAATTGCAAAGCCACTGAAGTCTAGAAAAGCCCCGGGGTGAAGTGACTTTATGTAAGCAGCACATGATCAGCACAATGAGTCATCTACCCAACAGTGCACCAGCTCACACTGTTCTGAAGAAATTATGACGGCTAAACAAGTGAGGACAAACTCCCACCCAAAAGAGGCTAATAATTTTATATTTAAGACTGAATTAAGGAGAAAGCATATCTCCAATTATAGAATCAGCTGAAACCATTTCAGCAATAGCATCTTGTTGACATCAGAACTTTAAAATAATTAGGAGACACTTCTACAGACACAGAAGGTAACTCCAATCTTTAATTCACAAAACTGAAAAGCAAGCAAGATCTAATAATTAAAGATCCAGGGTGTGCCTACTTTGGCTAAGTTCATCTCATCTAATGTCTTGGTACCATGGCCTGTCTCCCCTGCTTCCAGCCACACATGCCTCCTACTTCCTTTGCACTGGTTTTAGTATCTGTTTTAGCTTTCCATGAGCCAATTCAGCTCATTAGTCCAACAAAAAACACAGAAGACAAGGAAATTGTTTTCTGCCACATTAGCTAGTTGAACTGGCTCACTATGAGGTTTGGAGAAGTGCTACTGATACAAGGGAGAAAACAGGAATCTACAGCCAGCAGCAGAAGAGACTGCTGCAGGACCATCCCCATCATCAGCTATGAGCAGTTAAATTAGCTCAACAGTTGGTATAAAGTCATCCCAGAGCTGCTGAGATCATACCTGAAAATAAGTCTAAAATAAAATAAACCTTCCAAGGCAGTGGATTTAGAACCTTCTACATCTCTCAGAATCTCTAAGCCAAAGTAAGAGAGAAGTTTCTGTATATATGAAACTATGCCCTGCTCTATGGCAGCTATTCAGGCTGGAATACCACCAAATACATAATGCAATGCCACACCGGATGATTACTGTAAAAAAACTCCGGTCTGATAAACCAAACTTGTTTCTAATAATGTAAAAGAAACCTCCAAGTATGGCTTCCTCAGACAAAAGTTTCTTTCTGTTCTTTCCGGAAAGTCTCCATGTAATATATGCATTGCAGAAAGAGCCCTACACTCACACTATCTCACCTTACTAGCTGTTACTCCATCATACACTTAGATGGAAAAAGATTTTAGCCTAGACTTTTCTAAGAGAAAAACAATTTTTTTTTTTTCACTCAAACTCTTCCTCCTTGTAAAACAAAGAAGTGGCATTTGATAGAATTACTAAACACCAACCAAGCATCAATAACTCCACAATGATTTTGGGATGGGGGGGGGTTGAACGCCACCAGGGGTATAGTGCTGCAGGCAGCTGATCTAACAGCTCATGTTTTCAAAAAAGAAACTACTTCCTCCTTTCATCGCCCTCTTCACTCCTCCTTCCCCAGCTGTCCACTGCCACTTTCAGACAAGACCACTTTAACTCAGAAAAAAGAAGCAAAAAGTAGAGTTTTCTGCCAAAACAGCAAGTTGAAGAGGCTTACAGAGGTATCCAGCAGACAGCAGATCTAGCGCAAGAGAAGGACAAGGCTCCACTGATCAGGAACGGTGTTTACCCTTTCAAAAAGTAATAAGCCTTCAGAAGAGATCAGCTGCCACAAGTTCTTACCTTACCTCCAAACAAACAAACCATCTGCAATTTCTTCTCTCTGTCATTAACAGATGAGACACAATAGCTATTTCTCCAAGGAGGTGATTAAAAAGACCGAAAAGAGAGTCTTCCTAACCCATCAAGCACATGCCATATTTTTCAAGTATCAAACTTTAACAATGAACTTATCTAAAGTGAGATTCATGAGCAGTTCTGGTATCATCACAGTATTCTTGAGTTTCATTAAGATAAATTCACTCTTCTAAATATAATGAAAATGTCTTTACCGGAGAGTGTCTGGTAGATCCTCCTGTGAAACACTTGTCACCAGCTTTTGGAATGTATGGAAGAGTTCCACTTTACAGATCTTGGATCTGATGGGGGAAAGAAAAAAAAAAAAAAAGAAATCAGAAATTCTCATGGAAAAAAAGAGATCAGAAATGGACTTCCTCTTACAGCTCACAGTAGTATCCCAGCTAAACATTTTTGCTAAAAACCCATATGTTCACTTCTCAAAGAATGTAAAAAGTTCTCCACAATTTAACTTCCCAAGCTGCCCACTTGCCTTTTCCCTTTGTTTTAAATGTTATATTAACAAAGAGCTGCATTGTCCCCATTGTCCCAGTCAGCACTCTGTCAGTTTGCAGAGAGAACATTTTAATATCCCCACATTGTTATCTGTGTGAGACTGCACCGTCCTCAGCTCACAACTACAGCAAGGTTAAGCTAGAAAGACTAGTCCCAGAACTGATCAAACAAGCACGGAAGGATTCCAAAGGCTTGTTCAAACTGGCAACTTTGTATTACTCAGAACAAATAAAAGAACCAGCAGAAATAGCTGGAACAATGCTGTCCTTTTCACAGTGGTGATGAGGACACCTTCAGCAACAGCTGCAGGGCAGTTAAACATGAAGAGGCTCATCAAAAAATAAAACGAGTCAAAGTTTGAAAGGTCTTTTGAAGATAGCATATGCATCTCTGTCAGCTTTAAGCCCGTTTCTTCGCCCAAAGAGAAGGCAACCAGAAGAGCTGTTTATAAAGCATGGTTTGGATTTGAAAGCCCCAAGCTATTTTCTCTACTTAATTGTCTTTATGCACTTTTCTTCATAGTGACTGATTCAGTTCAACATATGCAAGCTGATTCTCCAGAAGCATAGGAAAAAAATAAACAACCACCAATCAAAACCCCCTTCCTATTTTGCTAGTATATTCTTTAAGAACCCCAAAACTGGCATGCAAAGATGCTCTAAAATTTCATCTTCATGTTAATCTGTCAAAGGTTCATATTGTAGTTCTTGGTGTTTTAGTTAATTAAGCATTAACAAAAGCACATACCAGACATCCACCTACAAATTCCTTTTAGTCAGTCAGCTTTACCTTCCTTGATATTTAGTATTATCTAGCTTATTGAGGGGAGGGAAGCCCCAAACAACGCCCCCCACCAATCACCCAGAGATTCCTTGAGGGAAAGAAAACAGGGTAGAAATACAAGTCTTGTTTATTATTAAACACTCTTCCCCCCACCCCCAATAAGGCTATAAATTCCTTATTTTCGCACTAAAAGTTCCTTTTGTGACTGTTTATCACAAAAGTGTAAACAGTTTACTTATTCCTTGACAAGGAAACAAGACCTTTGCAGTCACACAGTTTTGTAAGCCCTCTCTAATAACTTTTGAATGTTTTAGTGAATTTCAAGCACATGTAAAAAAAGAGAGGAGAGAGAGAGATCTCTCAACAATAATTAAGTTCCTACACTTCTGTGCAAACTGGCAGCTAGCAGATGACTCTGAAGTTTTAGAGCTGATACACAAATACTACATAACAAATGTAAGTCTACTGAGAAAAAGGGGTCAGTTGGTTCTTTCACACGTCTTCTGAAATACATTACACACTACATATTGAAAACTAATACTCTACAGTGCACATAAAGCCTGTCTCAAAAGACACACCTAAGTCACCCAGGTCACCTGTGCTAACAATACCCCAGACATCAATACTGGTCACAAACCACAAAGTTCCCGGTCCTCTTCTTTCCAGGGAAAATTTGGAAATACCAGGATAAACTTCAGTCAAGTCAGGCCTAAATTCAAGAAGCTCAAAATGTGCGACTTGCAGGCATGGGAATGAATTCTCCACAAGAATTGTCTAAGCTCTGCTTATCATTTTATTCACTGCTGTCAGGATTATCTTCTTTCTCCCAGAAAGCCTGGGAAAAATGAACAATATGACCATTGATAAATTGGTAGTATAAGAAGCCAACAACCATAACATGACCAGAACCCTCAAAGCTGAACTTCCACAGACCAATGACAATTTTGGTCACTTCACCTAAACTGAGGAAGGTGTAGAGAGATGGAGAAATTTGTCTGCAGATGTTTACACGTAATTCCTCTCAACCACAACAAAAACACATAACTGTTTCTTTAAACACTAATAACTGATAGAAGATTATGATGTTTCTTAAAGAGCACAGTGTCAAGATCACAATGGAAAAGGTAACATGTTTTGTCTTAGGAATCCACTGCAAGCGTTTCGTAACATTTTCAAACTTTAAGGCAGAAAGTCAGATTTCAAAGCAACACTTTTAACAATCATACATCTAGGTCAGCTGGCCTGACTCTTACACAAAAAGAAGTCTGTAAAAAGAGGACCTGCAACACACACATTTCCTTCACAGTCATGAACCCAAAAGATACAAAGCAAAAATTCTTCTAACATCACCCATAAATAACCTGTCTTTTAAGAAAAATTGATCATAGTCCCCCACCACCATTATCTACAATGCTCTCTTTAATCAACAGTGACAAAGAAGAAATAGGATAAACTTGTTAACCCTCATTCAACTTTTGTCATACCAACTCTCCTTTCTCTGCCTTACACAGTGACTCTTCCTTTTCCCCCCACTTCTTTCCTTTTTCCCAACTCCCCAGATTTCTTTCTGCTCTGACAATGCACCACAGATCACATGAGCTGACAGAGGCATGTATGCTAACAAATAAGATATATAAATCCAGGTATCACAACATTCCCACACCTGCTCTGATGGCTCCCAATCCCCTTCTTTGTTGTTCCCTGCCGGAAGCCATCCGAGGTGACATCCAGAGGTTGCTCAGGGACTGCACTCCAACTGATAGCTGCAGAAGAAAGGATTATGAACAAGGGAGATGCTCTCATCACAAAAGCAGAACTTAACAGTTCCTTTCATTCTATGTGTTCACATGATACCATGCTGCTTCCCAAAATAATTCAAACTAGAAAGAGGACCACAGTTCTCTAGGGCCAGGATTCCAGCACCTAAAAGAACAAGTAAACTCTATTTAATTAAAAAAAAAAAAAATACACACACACACATAGAGCTTTCATCTTAATCAGGTCCTTCAAGAATCCACGCCTCTAAATATTTGGCCTCCAGCTTTGTAATTCTCCCCTTTTGAGGGGGATTCTACTGTCTTTTGTGCATCCTGTCCAGACAAACTATGAAGAAATTTCCAAGTCTGACAGCTTACTGTCATATCAGGCTGTGAAATATTCCCCCAAGCTACTTGCACCAGTCACTCTATGTTTTCCTTATTAATTTATTGTGTGCTATTATTTTATTGTGTATGTAGTTCTCGCTATGTTTGATAACTGACATACATCAAATATCTGTAGACTTTACTTGAAAAATGTTATTAGCTAGTAGTAAAATACAAATAATTTGTCACAAGAGACAGCAAGTGCCAACAACCTTATGCTTTACCCCGTTCCGGTAACCTTATTACCATCTTAGACTAAACTTCTTAATGCTGAAACTCTGCATAATATACCTTATAGATTTATAAATAACTAGCAAAGCATCAGTAGCATGTTAACAGAAACAAAACTGACTGACATACCCAACCTGTCCCTCTATAGCCCAACAGTTCCTTTAACTTGTACTGCCTCCAGACAATTTTTGTTCCCTAAGTTCTCCCATTTCTCTGTGTTCCTAACAGGCAAAACAGTGGCACATGCATTAACTCTAAAGACAATTTTTACAGATTCTCTCCTTTGTGATACCATCTTGCCATTCAAGATGCTCAAAAACTACAGGTTATAAAGCATATTATGGAGACTGGTCATGTTAATCACACTTGTACTATGATTCAACTGTATGCTGCAATTGGCATACTCTGCCAAGCGTAAATTGTACTTGCATTGTGATTTAGGTACAGTGCTGTATCACTCTACTAAATTAAAATCCTGTGTAACATCAAACAACATTAAATACATACAATTGGTATTAAACATTAAACCCTCCACGTGTGGAGTATCTAAAACCACCTGGTCAGAAGATACCAGATTCTGACAAGCAGATAAAAATTTACTTAAAAATGAAAACGTTCTCAATTCTTTCATTTCTTCATAGTTATCACAAACTTCAAAATATTAAACAGAACACATTTTTCTTTTAAAAAATACCAGCTGAAATGTTGCTGTCAAGCATATTTCAGTACTCAGTGTAACAGCCCTGAATTTATTCTGATTTTCACCTCTTCAAGAAAAAAAATCAATCTGGCATAATTCATATATGCAAAAAAGTGTGATACAGCATCATTCATCTTTATTTAACAGAATGACCTGAGCAACTGTACAGAAAAAAAAAGGCATACACAGGGATTTAGTCACAGTTGGCTTCAGACCTTTTTTGCTAAGTGAATTGGCACCATTTTTCAATCATGGATTTTGTTTCCTATCTCTTAGAATCAAAATCTTTTCCTTCCTGGCACCTGCAAATGACTCCAATTTAATGAATCTGAATTCCATTAAGGAAACCTTTGTTTCCATTCTATTTTATCATCAGCTGTATTGTACAGAGTAACTTCCAGTTCCAGTTAAGCCAGAAAAGTATACAAACAGCAAAGATAGGCACGTCCAAGTTTAAAGAAACTGCTTAACCATGCACATACAGTGGCAGTTCATTGATTTTTTACCCCAAATGAGACTATGATGCTAAATCACAACGTGACTTGCACATTCATTCATCACTATGACAAAAAAACGCAATGTCCAAAACCTCTATCAATTAAACCTTTACACTATACTACTCTGTATTCTTTCCGCGTTCACAGATTTCTGGAGCAGTTACAAGCATTAACTCAGCATGGCAAGTCTTCTGTTCATTACCAACGCGAATGCAAAACTAACTGAAACAAAAAGTCTTTTGATATTTTTGTTTTCTTATTGCCCTCAGAACTTTTGCTTTCGCTGGTTATTTTCTGTCTTTGTTTAGATTATAAATTCTTAATGGCATCAACCACGTGTTTATTCAGTCTGAAAACTTCCCTGCAGGGAACTAGAAGCTGAGCTGAATATTATTAATTATTAACAATTAAGTTCTGGCCTGAAATTAATTTCTTGCTGTAAGTCACACTTTGCCTCTAGCACTGGCAATGAATGATGTTCCATTTTAGGAAACCACCAAAACCACCCGATTTCTCTTTCGACTTTTGGACACAGTTATGCAACTAGCCCAAGTTAACTCACCTGCACTACAAGGAACAAGTTTTGTTTTGCTGTTAGTTTGAACTTCCTGAATTGCCTGACGGCTATGTTCAAATCGAAGATCCGATTGCAGCAGCTTAACCTCCTGAGCAAGAAAACCATCTGGTAAAAATGAGATGTGCTGACACCTAAAGTAAACATGGAAAAATGCAAGTGATTTTAAGTCTAGTCTTCCCAAACAAGCCAATTTTGTGCAATTTCCCATCATAATCTAAAATATGTTACTTTTATGCTAAAACTGAATTGAACATAAGTTATAGAAGACAGAGAAGGAGGTTTGGGGGCGTTTTTTCCCTTCAAAAATTATTTGTTAAAAAAAGTAAAGCCACATAGTTTATTAAGACCTTGTTCATCCCAGAAAAATTGCAATGAATTTATTTTTAAAAAGGTCTAGTTAAAAGCTAGTATAATCCATGGAGATAAAGTATGCAGGATAAAAACTGCAATATACTTCTGCAATCACAATGAAAAAAAAATAATTATAAAGTATTTACAGAGTCAACCATATTACATTAACAACTGTTTTACAAACCTAAAGGTTCATAATCAAAGACTAGAAAGATACAAAATATACTTACAGTTACATGTACAATCTCATCTTTGTTACCTTAAATTACTGTTACACACTGAATGGGATTAGGATCATATGAGGAGGAAAAAATGGCATGTGTTTAATCATCATAATATTTACACAGAGCAGGA